TGCTGCAGGCTACCTGGTGAAGCACCTGTATATTAACTCTCGCACCTGTGTCTATGCTGCAGGCTACCTTGTGAAGCACCTGGAGCAGAAGAGCTGTCAGCTGAACCTGGACGCTCGCTGGGTCGTCAACACGATGCTGGCGATCGGCGTCAGCTTCCCCACACTGCTCACTGTCTACGACAAGCTGTACAAGGCCAAGGTGGGCACGTGGACACACACACGCACGCACGCACGCACACACACACACACACACACGCACGCACGCACACACACACACGCACGCACACACACACGCACACGCGGTGCTAGTCACCGCATCGTAGTCTTATCGTATTACCGTACATTACCATATCCTACCGTACCTTACTGTACCGTATCTTGTCGTACCTTACTTTACAGTACCGTACCTTACATTACTGTGCCATACCTTGCCATACCGTCGCCTAACCGTACCTTACGGTACCTCACAATGCCATATCTTACCGTACCTTACCGTACCTTAACGTACTGTAGTCGTGAATATTTACGATGTGTCTGACAGTGGGCTCACGTGTATATATACGTACATATAGTATGTATGTATGTATGTATATATTTATTTATTTTTATTTATTGTATATATTATATTAATTTTATAGCCTGATTAAGAGAGATACTATAAAGTTTGCTAATTAAAATTTAACACCTCATTCTACTTTTCTACATTTATTTTCATATCTACATAGGTGTATGTGTGTTTTTACTTCTATACTACTATTCTACTACTATACATATATATATATACGTGGCTGTGTGCGTGGCTGATGAGCGTGTGTTTTACCTGCGCTGTAGGATGCGTGCTGGCAGTCAGCGAGGAAGCCTCTGCACACTCTCACCGTGATTAGCGAGCTGTTGGCGGCCTTCACAGACGCGCCCACCGCCGTCCCCGCACAGCAAAGGTTCGTAATTAACACCTCCCACTCCCCCTGCCGCTGTAACGAGGAAGATGACGTTACCCGTTTCAAAGTAGATTTGTTGTAAGTTGAAAGTGAAAAGGAAAACTCCAAAGTCCAAGCAGTTGTGTTCAGCAAATAGTATTATTGTTTCTCAACCCACATGCGCGCGCACAGAGGCACGCTGCCGCGTGCCTCGCACACTCACGTCCGATCTCCCTCACAACCAAGAACCTTTTCCTTTCATACATTTCTAGCTAACAAAGAAAGTCGCGCGCGCCTGGACAACCACACCCGCTGCCCACATGCACAACACAACAACTCCCTCTCAACCGTTTCGCATCTTTATCATCCATACTACATCAAACACGCTGCCGCGGACTAACCCATTATGCAACTACTTCGCGACATTTCTAAACACAACTACTATTTCTACCATCTGCAAACCACACTTTACATTACCTTCATTTCCTCCAAGACGATGCCGCCATCACACGGTATATCACACTGTATATCGCACGGTATATCACCTGTACGTAACACTGATACATCATGTGGATATCGTACCGTACATGAAGCTGATACATTACATGGTATATCATATGATGCATGAAGCTGTATCATGATCGTTTACGAGCCCTTGATCTTGAGCGTCACCCCACAGCAGCGACTAACGTTCACACTAATTAAACGCTACAATTAACCTCCTAAATATTAGTCTCAATAGTCCAAAGGAACAATATCCGGAAGCACGGAAGTGAGACAAAGTTGATCAAATTGACAGATTTCTCACTGCGGATCGCAATGTACTCGAATTAGAGCATGCTATGACGCTGGCGTAGCATAGTACTTCTTGTAATTTGTGATCTACGCTTCGGTTTCGGTTTCGTATACACCAATTCGTTTGTAATTTGTAATAAAAATTTGCTGCAAAACCTTCGGTGAAAAATACAGCTAATTGCATGCCCGTTTGTGCTATTGTGCAGCATCCGATTGTATTGTACATATTGTTAAGTGGATTAAATCGTAGTGGAATTCAGTCATGACAAATGTCGTGTTAGAGAGTTGTGAACGCGTTGTGTGAATCGGCGTGTCTTGCAAACGTCTGGCTGGTTTATTATGGAGATGAAACAAATGTGTATCATGTGCATGGAACGCACGTATACAGACGCAAACGGCCCGGACGCATGTCATACCAGAGGGAGAAAGAAGCGAGAGCGAGAGAACGTAGGTGAAGTGACATCGAGAGAGAGAGATAAAAAGAAGAAAGAGAGAGGGGGGGGGGGAAACGCGCGCGGCTGGAGATGACGGGAGGAAAGGCATATGGAGAAACAAGAGATTAGCGCAGAATGCATAGAGATAAGTGACGAAGACGCGAGCGCAAGAGTGTTGTAATGTGCTATGAGTGTGTTGCCTATGTGTTTGTTGTGTGTGTTGTGCGTGGCGTGCGCGTGGGCGTGTGTGTGAGCGAGAGTATAGCGAGGGATACGTGTTAGTGCACGCGTGTCGCGCGATATAAGCGATTATCGTCAAATTCCGGCAATAGATTCGCGAGAGCGTCGGCATTCGGCGGCTTCCACAGCGTAATGGCCGCTCCTGGTGCCCATCGATGAATGGCCCTCTTCTGCTTCCTCATCACCACGAGCTTGATGACATCAGGCGCCCATCAAATCTCCGCCAGCCTGCCATCGCGGCGCGACAGAACGACCCTGGTAATATTCACGAGGAATCCGTTTCCCGCATCGAGAAGCACGCGTTCTCTCTCGTCTCGTCTCTCTTAACTATTATATATAATACCTGCGGGCAGCGTATACACGGTTGTAGCCCGGAACAGTTTTCCCGTCGATCAACGCTCGTGACTTAGCGGTAGCTGAAC